AGCCCTATAGCCTTGCAATAATTTTTTTTTAATGAACAATGTCATACTATATTTTATATAATCTCAAACTGAGGGGGCCAATGAGCCATAGGCCAAAACATAGCCTGTTTGACAAAAAACCCATCTCCAACTGAAGGGGGCTATTTTTAGCCCCCTCAATAATTTATTATTTTAATTGAATTAATATGGTTAATTGAATTAAACTACCATATTAAAATAAGGTTTTTGAACATATTTTTTCAGTGTCATTTGTCGCTAAATTAATAAGTCACCAGATTTCTTATCTTTATATAATGAAAAGGATATGAAAAATTGGTGAAGAATTGAAATAAAATAAGGTAAGATAGTATGAAATGGTAAAAATGATGGTAGAAATGACTTAGGTATTTATAGGAAAAATAAATTTCGTCTAAAAAAAGTCAAATCTAATAGTAATCTAATGTTAGCATGACATCAGGTAGCATGTGTTTGGGTTGGGCTATAGGGCTGACTGCTCTTGGCTAGCCTGCTGGCCGAATCTATAATTTTTGGTCGGGTGGGGTCCACGAGCATTTTTGGCCTAGCCTTCTGTTGGAGACAATTTTCGTATCAAAATCGGTTATTTTTTAGCCTATGACCTTTTGGCCTGGTCAGTTGGAGATTGCCTTAAATGGGCACCTAAAACTCTTTAATTTTTGTAATTAAGTCAAGAATGTTGCTAGAGCTTTTATCGATCTAATTTGGATAGTGCTATTTACACACTATTTTTTACTTCTCATACATTCTCTTAATTTTCGATCGTCAAAGCGAATGAACTAAAAAAATATTAATAATTAAAAAATATCAAAATATGTAAGAGATAAAAAAGAATATGTAAACTACGTTTTTCTCTAATTTTCAGTGTAAGGCTCAAACAGCAGTCTACTCACAAACTCCCAAAAGATGACCGACTGACTCCATAATCCAGAGACTCCACGTACTACGCCGAGGTACCATGTGGCACATGTCCAGATTTTTCAACATGCAATAGAATATCGCATAATGGGGAGGAACGAGAGGACCGTCCCTCTACTGCCCTTTCTGAACCACATAATATGAAACTCCAACAAAAACAAAGATATATAGTAAACTAATTAAAAAGTATGTTTATACCATACTTCACCAATCTTGAAACTACTGAGTACCGGTCAACGTTATATTGTCAAGGACACAGAAGAGTTTCCCTCAAACCAGGAGGCCAATCACAGCGCGACACGTGTCGACATCAGAAGCCAATCATAACGCGACATGTGTCAATATCAGAAGTCAATCACAACACGACACGTGTCAACGTCAGAATGAAACTAGAAACTCTCTTCTATAAATAGAGGTCATTCTCTCACAATATTTCCTAATGTCATTTGTACTAAATCATTCACTAGTACTCACTAAATGAGAGCTTGAACCTATGTACTTGTGTAAACCTTTCACAATTAATTTGAACTCTTCTACTCCTTGGACGTAGCCAATCTGGGTGAACCATGTACATCTTGTGTTTACTTCCTTGTCTCTATCCATTTACATACTTATTCACACTAGTGACTGGAGTAATGTAGCGAATGTCACAAACTTGACACTTTCTATTGTACTAAAGTCTTCGTTGATTTTGTGCATCAACAAAGTAAATAATATATCTAGAGAAAATGTTATTAAGATTTTCAGAAGGAAGAGGATCTCCTTCGAATCCTCTTTGTGAGGATCTTGAGGATTCTTGAATCTAGTGTGTTCATCATTTATTGTGCGGTCAGATTTTGTCAATTACTGTTCATGTTTAATATTAAATAAATATATTTAAAATAATTTCTAACCTTACGATAAACGCACAGAATTCAAAGATCTTCAGAATCCCCATAAAAAGAATCCGGAAAAGATCATCTTCCTTTTCAGAATACAGCCCGTTTATCTGTTTTGGAACTTTTCAATAGGACAACAAACCTAACATAAAGTATATTTCCCGTGGAAGAAACGAATTAAAGAAAATAAATAAAGCTGAGAATCTACTAATACTTTACAACCGACGGTATATTTTATTGTATTTGTCACTCCTATTATATGATCAACCGCGAAGAATTAAGATTTCTCTGCATGGAGGTTGGAAACATAATACAGTACTTGTATATATTATAACATGAATAATACTTGTATTTTCCTTTCGAAGGAGCGAACTCATTTTCCCATTTGAAATAACGTATCTTCAGTATAAAAAATTTATAATTAAAATCGTTTGAATTTTTTAATCTTAATTTGATGATCAACCAAACACAAGGGTTAGATGCAGTCATAATATAAAGGAAAAGTTACGAAGCTAATGGAACGTTGGTTTGATTTTGGTCATGTCTCGAAAGCGAGGCATGACAATTAGAGAGGTACGTTATGACATCACATGTCAATCCTGGAGGTATCTCGGGATCAGGGTGTGATAATTTTAGTGGTATCAAAATCATCTTAATCATATATCGTTTAGTCTTTCAAATGTCTCAAGTAAATGGACTGTTTATCATTAGTATGGTACTTGGTACCTACACGTCGATTTATTTGATACATTTGGATTATTAAACGATCTCCGATTCAAATGTTTTTTTAGGAATGATCTTCAAATAAGGACTAAGAAATTGACCGGTTTTGAGTATAAATTTTTTACATGAAGATACGTTATTTGCGAGTGAGGGAATGAGCTCCCTCTACTCAAGGGGGAATGCAAGTATTATTTTATTAGCATTGTCATTAAACTCTAATTATTATTATTGATAATACTTGTATCCCCTCCTTGAACTGATGAGCTCATTTCTCCCATGCAAATATGTGGATTCACTATATAAATTTCATAATCGAACTCACTTAATTTCTTAATCTTCGCTAAAGATTACCCTTACAAAAAATAATTAGAATTGGAGATCATTTATTAGTTGAAATGTATAGAACAAATTAATGGTGTAGATACCAAGTAACAGATTCATGATAAACCGTTCATTTATTTAATATGTTTGAATGAAACTATTTCTGATTCAAATAATTTTTTATAGAAGTAAACTTCAAATGATGGTTAAGAAATCGGACTATTCCGATCATTGAGTTTGTAAGTTAAAGATACATTATATGTAAATCGAGGGATATGTGTATCCCTTCTTTTGAAAACATGTGTCTGCACTGTGATATTGATTTCCACATAGAGTACAACCAGAAGGAGCACCAGAGTTGCGAAATCTGCAAGTATCCGCAAAATGGTTGTTCTTTCCACAAATTTGACAACCCTGTACAGAGTTTGTATTACGAAAACGACATGTTGATGCCAAATGATTGTGTTTCCCACAGATTTGACAAGGTTGAGACAGAAATCCATAATTGTTTGATCTTGGTGGTGAAGTACCGAGGATTCCAGGAGCAGGACTTGAATGAAAATTCTTGTAATTGTCATACTTGGGATTGAAGTTAGGAGTGAACCGATTCCTGCCTTTGGTATTATTGAAAGACTTGTATGCAGTCGAATTCGGACTAGCATGGTTATTGTTACCATAATTCCCAGAAAAAGACTGATTCTTGGAAGGTAAACCATTACTTTGAGCCATTAATGCAGACAACACAGGTGAATGAGAACAATTGTCAAGCAAAATTTCTTCAGCAAGTAATTGAGATCGAAGATCTTTCAGTGATATCACACTCTCCCGACCCCTGATCATAGACCTTATGGTATTGAATTCAGCAGGCAAACCATTTAGTGTAAGAATCACAATGTCATCATCATAAAAGAATACACCAGCAGCAGACAACAAATCTCTTGCTTCCTTAATTTTCTGCAATATAATGTGACAGAATCAGTACCCTTCTTTATTGTCTGAAGTTCGGATTTGAGTTGGAAAATACTCGTTCTTGTGATTGTAGAAAATTGATCTTTAAGACGAGTCCACAATTATTTGGAGCTAGTACTTCCAATGACACAAGAAACTGCAGCAGGAGATAGAGTCGCAGTGATCAATTGCATTAATGCCTTATCATGCATCTTCCATATAGTGTAGTCATCAGAAGGAATCCGTGTAGACGAATCACCAGACAAAACTGCAGAAGTAGCAGAGGAATCTTGACTGAATTGAGCAGGACACGGCATTGAACCATCAACAAAACCAATGATGCTATGGCCTTCAAGAAGGAGCTGCATCTGAAAATGCCAAGCCAAATAGTTCGTATCGTCCAATTTCACATTAACCGAACTGGAAACAGACGAAATCAACGAAGTAATCGGAGACTGTAAGATCTGTAACTGAGCTGCTGTTACCATTGTTGCAAATTGTAGAGAAATTCCAAAGAATCTTGACTGACACCAAATCACAAACAATTGGTATGCACCCTTTAACGAGTGAAGAACCAGACGAAGATTTGCAGAAAAAACACCCCAATATATCAGAAACACGATCAACAATAACCCAATATTCCAGAAAACCAAAGCAAAAGAAAAGCAATCACAGTAGCGGAAGCAATCGAAACCAAGATCGACAAAACCGGCAAGCGTTTTACGCTTGTTCGGGCTATGATACCATGTAAACCATCATAGGTTCTTGAAGAAGAGGATTATACAGATACAAGAAAGAACGAAGAAAGAAAGACAGAGAGAGAAGTAGAAGAATTAGAGTTTAGAGAGAGAAATCAGTTATTCAACTGTAATATTTTTTTCTTATTAGTTACAAGCTATTTATAATATCCCTTTGGTAGCTTACACTCTAAGTCACAACATAACCAACTCAACTAACTTCATACTCATTTGACACTTGTCCATTTCATAACCATTGGATCTTAGTACTCCTAACATCCCTCACTGGATGCAAGGTTTTTTTTTTTTCGCAAAATAAGACCTTATGAGAATCCGTATGTTATTCATTAAGCTAAGCAAATATCCATTTATGTCCCTACCCCACAAGTTGTGCACTTTTATGCTCTTATACTCGGACTCTTACATGCTATTATATCAGTTTTATTTTCTCGCAACTCCTCCTCTGACGTCTCATGGCTTCCTCCACTGCAAAACTGCTGCAGCTCCTCTGCATAATCTTATTTCTCCACATTTCTTCCTCTTCTTCTTGGTCTTCATCTTCGAACAGGACTACTTTTAATCCCCATTTGTCGTCCATAAGATCATTCTGCAAGTCCACACCCTACCGAAACATCTGCTTTGACTCACTAAAACTCTCAGTCTCCATAAACATCACTCCCAACATCCTCTCCTACCTCCTCCAATCCCTCAACGTCGCCATCTCCGAAGCCGCAAAGCTCACCGATCTTTTCTACAAGGCTGGACAGTACTCGAACATCGTCGAGAAGCAAAAGGGAGCTGTCCAGGACTGCCAGGAGCTCCACCAAATCACTCTCTCCTCCTTACAAAGATCCGTGTCTCGAATCCAGGCACGAAATGCCAAGAAACTTAACGATGCTAGGGCTTACCTCAGCGCTTCTCTCACAAACAAGAACACTTGCATGGAAGGATTGGATTCTGCTTCTGGCCCTATGAAGTCAACCCTAGTCAACTCCTTGACTAGTACATACAAATATGTAAGCAATTCTCTCTCAGTTATCTCAAAGCAAGGGGCGAATAAAGGGCGCCCAAACCGCCGTCTTATGAGAGTTCCGAGGTGGTTATCGAGGAGAGACCGCCGGATATTGGAGAGCTCCGGCGATGAATATGACCCCAGTGAAGTCCTAACGGTTGCCGCAGATGGATCGGGGAACTTCACCACAATTAGTGATGCTATTATGTTTTGTCCAAATAATAGTTATGATAGGACGATTATATATGTCAAAGAAGGGGTTTATGAAGAAAATGTGGAGATTCCGAGCTACAAGACCAACATTGCTCTTTTTGGAGATGGAAGTGACATCACTTTCATCACTGGTAACCGCAGTCGTGGTGATGGATGGACTACATTCAGATCTGCAACCGTAGGTAATTAATTTTGTTCGTATGTGATTAGTTTTCATGTAAAAGTCATTTTACACCTGATTAATTTTTCAATGACTTTTTCACCCGTCATATGAGCAAAATGGGTCAAAATTAGGTCGAAAAGTTTCATTTGGATATACTGACATTTCCGACCCGACCACAATGATGACTAGTACAATATAAGAAAATTCTTAAAGATACTATTGAGGTTAAACTTGTTATTAGTTAGTCCAAATCAAACTTCCTATCTGCATTTCATCCAATTTCGCTTACATACGCCTCTCATGTGAGAGGGTGAAAAGATTATTTCAAGTTTTATTTAAGGATTAAATAAGCTTCAATGTCTTAAAATTGTCTTTTCACCCTGTCACATGACACACACATAATATGCTTAACCATAGGGGATGATTAGTGCAGTTTTTGAAAAATCATGTTTACATTTGCAACCATTTCATTCCCAGTTCGTTTTAACCCAACATAATCAATTTTTTTTTCAGCTGTGTCCGGAGAGGGCTTTCTAGCAAGAGACATAACAATTCAGAACACGGCAGGGCCAGAAAAGCTCCAAGCAGTTGCTCTGAGAATGAATGCAGACTTGGTTGCAATTTACAAATGCACTATCAATGGCTACCAAGACACGTTATACGTGCACTCTTTCAGACAATTCTACAGAGAGTGCGATATATTCGGAACCATAGACTACATATGTGGTAACGCTGCAGTTGTATTTCAAGCATGCAACATCGTGTCTAAGATGCCAATGCCGGGACAATTCACAGTCGTCACGGCGCAGTCCAGGGACACATTAGATCAGAACACAGGAATCTCCATGCAGAACTGCTCCATTGTAGCCAGTGATGAGTTGTACTCCAATTCCAGCATTGTCAAAAGCTACTTAGGCCGGCCGTGGAGGAATTACTCTACGACTGTTGTGCTGAAGTCCTACATTGACGACTTTATTGACCCGACTGGGTGGACTAATTGGGCCGGGGACCAAGGATTGGACACTTTGTACTATGGAGAGTATGAGAATTCTGGTCCTGGCGCTGGGACGGATAATAGAGTGAACTGGACAGGGTATCATGTTATGGACTACTATGATGCATCCAATTTCACGGTGCAAGAGTTTATTGCTGGTGATGAATGGCTGCAGTCCACTTCATTTCCTTATGATGATGGCATCTGATCTCTGTATGAATACTCTTGTTTGACATAGTTTTTTCATACATTTTCAAAATATGTATATCAAAGGTGGAAGTTTGTCAGGACGAGGTGAAATATTTCTGATTTTTTATTTTTTATTTTGGGTATAGAGGGTATATTTTCTGATAGGAGGTTCAACACTTTGAGCAGTTCAGAGTTCAAACCATGAACCCCAAATAAAACACTAACAATTTTGGCCGCTGCCTCGTGATTCTAAGGAAGTTGGAAAGTTTTAGAAATATAGTCACTCGACGGCCCCTCTTTTAAGTTTGATATTTCTGTATATTTCATACTGCTGCAATGGCAGCATTGCTTTATACATTGGATACGTACACGCATGCATTAAACTAAATATAAATGAAGGTGGAGTCCTCGCTGCCCATAGTGCAGAAACTGCCCATAAAGCACAAACACAGATGCACAGCCCACGTGGGCAGTTTAGCTGTCAACGCATGTGTTGAAACCATGTGCAATATTCCTCTGACAGGTTTGCTCTTTAACATTCCCCCTCAAGTTGGAATGGATGTTGATTATTCCTAACTTGTGGAGCAAAGTCGTAAACTGATGTAAGCTCAGTGGCTTTGTGAAGATGTCGGCTGGTTGCTTCATGGTTGAAATATGAGACGTCCTGATCATACCACTTTGAATCCTTTCTCGTACAAGGTGGCAGTCAATTTCTATGTGTTTGGTTCTTTCATGAAAGACCGGATTCGAAGTGATGTGAAGTGCTGCTTGATTATCGCAATACAACTTGACTGGATGTTTATGTTTGATACCCAAGTCTTGTAAAACATATTTCAGCCAAGTGACTTCACAACAAGATGCTGCCATTGAGCGATACTCCGCCTCTGCACTAGAACGTGACACCGTGTTTTGTTTCTTGCTTTTCCAGGAGATTAAGGATTCTCCAAGGAATACACAATATCCGGTGGTAGAACGTCGTGTGTCACGACATCTGGCCCAATCTGCATCACAAAAGGCATTCAGTTGGATTGGACTTCTTGCAGAGAGAAAAATACCTTGCCCTGGTGTATGCTTAATGTATCGTAAGACTCGGTGGGCTGCCTCCAAGTGTGGAGTTCGAGGCTTCTCCATAAATTGACTAAGAATGTGGACAACATAGACCAAATCAGGGCGAGTGATTGTCAGGTAGATTAGTCTCCCAATAAGCCATCGATAAGAAGAAGGATCAGTGATGCATTGTCCTTCGTCCTTTCTGAGTGATAAGTTTTGCTCCATAGGAGAGGTGGCTATTTTTGCACCAAGGTAACCTGCATCCTCAAGTATTTCAAGGGCATATTTTCGCTGTGAGAGAGTGATCCCCTTACTAGAGCGAGCAATTTCGATGCCCAAAAAGTATTTTAGTTGGCCAAGGTCTTTCAACTTGAATTGCTTCGTAAGGAAAGACTTGATATCCTCAATTGCTTGTATGTTATTTCCTGCCAGGATAATATCGTCAACATATACAAGGAGAGCAGTGAATTTACCATCATGGTTTCGGACGAACAATGAATAGTCTGCCTTGGATTGTTGATAACCAGCTTTGCTAAGAGCACAAGAGAGTTTGATAAACCATTGACGAGAGGCTTGCTTAAGCCCATACAAAGATTTATGAAGTTTACAAACTCGTGTTTCCCCCTTTCGTCCGAAACCAGGGGGCAAGGACATGTAGACATCTTCTTCAAGGTCACCATGAAGGAAGGCATTGTGAACATCAAGTTGGTGAAGGTGCCATTGTTGGACTGAGGCAACGGCAAGAAGGAGGCGGACTATAGTCAATTTTGCAACCGGAGCAAAAGTCTCACGATAGTCTAAGCCTTCAATTTGGCTATAACCTTTGGCAACCAAGCGTGCTTTATACCGCTCAACTGATCCATCGGAACGAAATTTGATTTTGTAGACCCACTTACATCCAACCGGCTGCTTTCCAGGGGGCAATGGTTGAAAAGACCATGTCCTATTTGCAGCAAGGGCTGCCAGTTCTTCTTCCATGGCTAAGCGCCATTGGGGGTCGCGTACGGCCTGTGAGAATGAACTGGGTTCTATGGCAGCTGAAATAGAAGTGGTGAAAGCACGATGGCGAGCAGATAAGCGATCATATGTGAGTACATCAGACAAAGGATAAGAAGTACCTACCACTGTGGTCAATGCCGAGTGAGATGAAGGGACGGACCGAGAAGGAAGGTTAATGCCAACGTGATATTGTTGAAGATAACCAGGTGCAGTGAGGCGTTTAAGACGAGGTGGTGAAGGGGATGGGTCGACTGAAGAGGATGGATCGACTGAAGTGGAATGGGCTACTGAATCTTGTTCTAGTGGAAGGGACGGATGAATGATGGTGTCATCACAGTCAATATCTTGAGTATATGGAAACACAACAGGTGAGACGGCAACGGAAGAAGAAAAAGGGAACACATTTTCATGAAAAATAACATCACGGGAAATAAAAATTTTACCCGTTTGAAGGTCGTAAACTCGATATCCCTTGGTGCCGTATGGATAGCCAAGAAAAAGACAACGTGTGGCTCTTGCATCAAATTTGGTTGGTCTATGGTGATGTGTGGAAGAGAAACATAAACAACCAAACACTCGCAAATGTGCATATGTTGGCTGTTTGTGATGAAGGATTTCATAGGGTGATTTTCCGTGAAGAAGAGGAGTGGGAATCCTATTAATGAGATAAGTGGCAGTTAGGATTGCATTACCCCAAAATTTCTTGGGGAGATGAGATTGAAAAAGTAAGGCTCTAGCAACGTTAAGTAAGTGGCGGTGTTTACGCTCTGCTACCCCGTTTTGTTGGGGAGTAGAGACACAACTTGTTCGATGTAGAATGCCTTTATCTGAAAAAAAATGGGTCATAAAAAATTCTGGACTGTTATCACTACGAAGAACCTTAACTCGTGTGGAAAATTGTGTTTCAACAAGGTGGATGAATGTTGAGATATGATCGTGCATCTGATTTGTGATTCATTAAATAAACCCATGTGCATCGTGTGAAATCATCTACAATGGTCAAGAAATATTGTGCCCCTGTGATAGTGGGAACATGGTAACCTCCCCAAATGTCAACATGAATTAATTCAAAAGGAGCTTTTGTATTAATAGAACTCAAAGGAAAAGGAGCACGTGTTTGTTTGGCTAAGGGGCAGATCAAACAATCATCAATGCTACAAAAATTCAAATTTTTAATGCAAGGAGAGATAGCCCGTAAGGTTTTGTTGGAAAGATGGCCAAGGCGTTGATGCCAAAGCTGAGAAGCAGAAAAGAGTAACAACTGACACTGAATTGCACCTGGTTTTCGTCACATTATCAAGGTAGTAGAGGCCTCCTTGTTCAGTTCCCGTCCCAATCATCTTCCCCGATCGTTGGCCCTGAAGTAGACACTTTTTATCAGTGAAGATGACAAAGCAAGATGAGGTATTAGTGATTTTGCTGACAGAAATTAAATTCAGTTTAAATGATGGAACACAAAGCACGTTGTAAAGGACGAGATCGTTCGAGAGACGAACTGTGCCAATATGTGTGATATCGGCAAGTGCATGATTGGGTAGGTGCACTTGTCGATTGTATATACCGGAACGCTTGTGGTCATCAAACTTGGTGAGCAAACCATGTGGTCTGTGGCGCCAGTATCGAAAATCCAGTTCCTTCCCTTATTGAGAGGAGAAGCACAAAGAACTCTACCTGATAAATCATTCATAGTAGAGGTGGTACCGACATGGTTAGATGTGGATTTAGACTGGCTCTTATCGAGGAGTGCAAGTAGGTTGTGGTATTGCTCGGGAGTGAGGCTGTAGGATGAAGGAGATGTTGCTGGAGGCGTTGGTTTGATGTCAACGTGATTAGCCTTGGAGTTGAACCCCTGCGAGTTGGAACCCTTGCGATCTTGATAATCTCCCTTATCGCTGTTGTCCTTTGCCTTTTTCAATTTGCTGCATTGGTCTATGGTGTGACCTCTCCAATTACAGTAGTCGCACTTGATGTGTGCATGACAGGTTTCTGAAGTATGTCCGGTTGCATCACAACGGCCACATTTTAAATGGGAATTTCTAGGAGAAAAATTCCTACCAGAGTTTCGCATGTTGTCCCGCACGGCGAAAGCTGCGGCATCAGTGATTGAAGACCTTCCAGGAGCATGTGTTGAGACTGCTCTCTGTTTCTCATCTTGAATAATGAGTGAGAAAGCTTTGTTGACAGCAGGGAGAGGATCCATAAGTAAGAGTTGCCCACGAACTGCAGCGTAGGATTCATTGAGACCCATGAGAAACTTCATGGTTTTCTGACTTTGCTGAAACTGCATCAATTCTTTCGCAGCTCCACATGCACAGGTTGGGAGAGCGCACAAGGCATCACGTTCATCCCAAAAACTTTTCAGTTTGGTATAATATGCACCAATGTTCAAATTTCCTTGAACACTTCCATGTATCTCTTGTTCGATATGGAAGAGATGGACACTGTTTGTGTGAGAGAAGCGTTCCTTCAACTCATTCCAAATATCAGCTGCAACATTGTTGTAGATGACACTTGCACCAATATCTTTTGAGACACAGAGTTGAGCAGCCAAGATTTCACGAGGTTGTTGCAACGAGTCCACTGTTGGTATTCAATTGTGGACGTCAACTCAGGCCTTTGAATGGTTCCATTGATGAATCCTTCCTTGTTCTTGGCATTGAGGGCCATGGTCATGGCTCGGCTCCAAGTGGAGTAATTTTCGTCATTCAATGGTTGTGTGACGAGAATCGCTCCAGGCTGATCGGAGTGATGAAGATAAAGAGGATCGCTGGGATCTTCGTATTTGGTGTGTTTGCTGGAAGAGTCAATTGCCATGTTCACAGACAGTGTGCAGTGGCTGTGCTTGGCTGTGCTCTGCGGCTGTGCTTAATGGCTGTGACAGGTAGAGCAGCGACGATGGTTGTGTAGCGGTTTTGCGACGGCAAGGCAGCGAGTGTGCAGCTTGCAGTGCACTGGTTGCTGCAGTAGCAGATGTCGCTGTTCACAGTATAGCAGCGGAAGAGTGAAGGCAGAGCAGAGCAAAGGATAACCTGTGCTCTGATACCATTTTAAGTTTGATATTTCTGTATATTTCATACTGCTGCAATGGCAGCATTGCTTTATACATTGGATACGTACACGCATGCATTAAACTAAATATAAATGAAGGTGGAGTCCTCGCTGCCCATA